AACATATGTACTGTAAGTGATAAATTTATCGAATTTTTTTATTGTAAAATAGATCGTTTTAAAGAAATGTACAACAAATTTTCAACAATTTATCAAATGTTCGGCACATTGGTGAAACTTTCAAAGACAATTAAACATTGCATTTCGTACTGTAAAAAGACGAAAGCAAATATTGAACGGTTTCAAAAATTACTAGGAGATTATTTGGGAATTTGTTCATTTGCAGAAGCAAGAATTTTGTTTCATAATTTAATTTGGGATTTTTCAAAATGATAGTTAATGGCTATTATGAGTTAAAATGTGTTGCTATCTGTGAATTAATTAGCAAAAATTTTCGACAGTTCTTCTTCTCAAAAACAATATCATATGTGAATGCAAAAACTGAGCATATAAAAGTGAATAAGGACAACATGATCCGGTAAAAACAGGAATAAAATAGGTTCCAAGCAAAAAAAAAGAAACCAAATTTCAAAAAATATTTTTAAGTATTTGGAAATGAATTTTAATAAATCAAAGAATCAAAAATGGTCAATATTTTAAAAAGGAAATTAATTTCCATTAATTTGCTTTTTGATCAATTTGTTTTTTTTTCTCTTGCTGGAAAAGAATAGACTAAAAATTAAATTAAATTGTATCATCGTTCAAAAATCTTTATGATTGTGTTGATACCAGATAATAAAATAAATTTTATCACTTTTTTTTTCTCGTGCTAAAGAATATGTTTAATAAATGCTACAAATTAAAATGATTTTTTTCAATGATAAAGTAAATGATAAGGAAAAAACATAATTTACAAAGTAAGTATCATTACTTTCTAGTATTTAACTCATATTTGAGATAAAAATAATTGGAAGAAAATAGATCAACGACAATTATTTTATTAATAGCGACAAAAAAATGTTTTAGAAAACAGATTGTTGTTAATATTTAGTCATCAATATTATTATTACAACCAAGTTAGCTATGTAAAAAATATTTTTTTTTAAACAAATATAAAGATACAATGTAATTTTCTTGAATTTTTTAAAAAATATTACAAAGATTTATTGAGAAAAATAAGAAAAAAACAAAATTTGAGAGAGAAAAACGTAACATACAGTGATTTACCTTTTTTTCTTGTTTATTTGCTAAATAATTCAATAAAAAGCGAAAAAAAAAATGAATTTTCTTCGTGAAAAAAAAGAAACAAAAAAAAATTGGGAACAAATGGATGACAATTTTAATGGCATTTTGTCCATTTTCATTGTACAGTAGGATTGAATTTTGTTTATTTTTGTTAATAAAATTAAAGCAACAGAATGAAACAAGAAAAAAAAATAATTTATTTCATTCAAATATTTCAACTATCTTTTAGCATTGGTAGGTTTTGGGAAGTTTTATTTTGCGAATTTTGAACGCGATTTTGATTTTATATTAAAATTTCATCAAACAATTAAATGGAATAAATATATAATAAATGGAAGTGGTAAATTTATAAGTGGAACATATTTTTAGAATAATTTTTATTGTCTGATTGCTGCAATTTAATCATTTATTCCTTCTAACATTTATTGTTGATGTTTGATTTCAGCGTTCAATTTTAAACAAACAGAATATGAAATTTTGCGTTCTTTATTCCGTTTTAAAATTTCAATTATTATTTCATAAATGCTGAATTGGTCATACAAAATGGCGCTAGTTCTTTTTTTAAATTGATTTTCAATCGTTTTTTATATCTTAAGATATGTTTCGTATATTTTTTTGGTTTATAATTCTAAAGAATTCCGCCAATGATTTAAATCCAATAATCTCCTCTTTATCATTAGTCTCATCTTTCAAGTGACTAGATAATTCCCCATTCATCAGCAATTTCATGTAAAAAGTGATCTCATGACCTTTTTTTGTACCGAAAGTTTCGTCTACAGAATGATCAAATTGTCTATTTACTATAAACAGAGTATATTAGCTCCTAATGAGTGTATTCTCGAGTGTAACTTATTGCTCTCCGAGACAAAGAGGTCTTATCATCGATACTTCTCCGAACGAATACCTCAATTAACGGTCCCGAAATTATCCTACCGGAACAAAAGTTAAGAAGAACGAGCAAGTGATCATTGCTGCTCTTGACTATTATAAAATTAAAAAGGAATGAAACTTTCCATTGAATATTAAGCTTTCATTTATAATTCAATTATGTCACACAACTGCCATCCCTCAAAAGGAATTCCATTAAAGAAAAGGTCACAACAAACGTTACCTTATTTGATAGCATATTTAAAGATGATTTCGTTTTGCTATCAAATGAAAATTATTCCAAACATATCAATTATTTATTGTTTTGCATTGCAAACGAAAATTTTCCCATCATTGAACTATTTTTATTATTTCATTTTTAATTAAAAAATATTCCGAACTTTTCAAAAATTATATTATACATCACATTTTTCGTCTTTTTTTGCTACTTTCTCCTATCCTTTAATTAATTAATTGATTAGTCTCTTCATTATAATTTTTTCATCATCATTCACTTCTCTAATTGAATCTCTTTTTGTGATGTAAATTTAATTTTCCCACTAATTATCTTGCTTCACATTTCGTTAGTTCATTTATCAGGAATATGTATAATTGAAATTAAATGAAAATGCTTTTAAAAAACAGATATTAATTAAACAAATATATCTAAAAACGAAACGATAAAACGGTTCGACAGACATACATGCATAATATTCATTTAGAGAACAATAACAAAATGTGGCAGTATGAAAGGTAATGATAGAGGAGACGAAGAGAGATAAATGAGACAAAAAGGCGTATAGGAGACGAAAAGAGATAAATGAAACGAAAAGAGATAAATGAAACAAAAACAGATAAATGAAACGAAAAGAGATAAATGAAACGAAAAGAGATAAATGA